TTAAAGAATCATAACCACCCGCCGTACCTTGCGAACCGAAGCGCCATTTTAGGTGGACACGAAAATGGCGGATTTGTAGGATTTCTTAAAGTGAGCGCGAATCGTCTACCATTCTTTCAGTTTGGACAGAAATACCTTTAACTAAGTACCTCACAGGTACTATCAATCTATAATTTGTTGTATGCTTGAGGCATTTAAACGTATGTAAACAATAATACGAGCGCGCAAGGTACGACGGGTGGTTATGATTCTTTAATATCGAGTCGAGAGTGTTCACAACACTTTTTATTTTACTTTCGCTGTGGGGCATAAGACGAGATAGTATCGAGCCCACAGTATTCACGGCTAAATGTCAGCGGTCGCATTGACTTCAGCTGGATGGCAAAAGTGCGTGCTCTGGGAAGAACATTGAGGGATTTACTTAATACGGTTGGTTATGGGATTCAAGTCATTACCTCATCAAGTTCTTTTATTGGAACCAGTCTCTCTCCGGCTCGAACTGGTGCGTTCTCAGTGTGAGGAATGGAAACTTCTTCGTAGGTCTTTGTTATCTTACGCTTTGCATTAGATGGAAGATGGACCTAAGAAAAAATAAATAAATAAATATTTATAAGCGGGACATTTTTCGTTTTTGTTCATGACCTCCAGGCACTCAAGAGAAATCCAACCTCATTCCCAGGCCCTCTCTGAAACAATTTTCAAAATGGCGGGATCTTCGCTGTATAGCGCCGCCATTTTGAAAAAAAGCTACAGAGAAGCCACTGGAAACGAGGTTGAAGAAGATCACACAGACCTTTTTTGAAATACAAAATCATAGTGCATTGTGGTCTAGCTTCATCACAAACAACGCTATATTAGAAAGCATGAAAAGATGTTTGTACTGAATCTAGATCACAATGCAATGCAAAACGCTCTCAGAAAAGGCCTATAGGAGACAACTAAGTGACATAATATGAAGGACCGAAGTGATGTCGTCAAAAAACGAAGGTTTTTGAGTTTTTAAAATTGTCCTCTATATGCTGAAAGTGTATCATTTTCAATGCATCATTGCTAACTTTTAGTGCACTATTTTCATTTATAGCGGCGATTTTATAGTTGAAGACCACATACAAACGCTTGTAAATTTGCTCTGGGTTCACAACGAAAGGAAATGCTGTCTTTTTACCTTTCCATGCTACTCGAGTCTCTCTCGGTGTTGTTCCCGACGAGTTATCGATTACTTGTCGGAAACAGCAACGAAAGATAGAGTCAATTTTATTAGAGTCATTTACAACTGTCTCAGGCATAATTAATGAACGGTGGTCCCTTATGAYATGCAATAAAATAATTTGGCAAACACGGTTTTGATTTTGCCTTTTGGTAGCCTACTACACCCTAATAKTTACTATTAAACACTGACTAGTAGTAATTGTTTCACAGACGGATGAAAATGACTCTACCTTTGCACCAGCAACAAATCCAACGTCATTCTGTGAAGTCCGTGCAGCATCATAGACATGTGGGAAGACTTCATGTTGTCTGACTTGTCTCTCTTTCTTAGCAAACGACGATGTCGTAGTAGCATGGAATAACGAGGACTCCCTAGGAACAAGACATACAGTATGAGTGATCGCGTGTGGACAAAACAAATGCTATGATTTACAATAACAGAACATCAAACGATAAAAACAATGCACAATACCACATTTTTAGTCTAAAAATTGGCAAATATTAATATTTTCTTTCAATAGTCTTCTTCASRGTTCCCTGYGCCGTCTTGAAAGGTAGCCGTGCTTTTGCATCGAAGCGAGACGACCGTTGAGCGTGCAATGATCGAAACCTTCTTTCACACCTACAGACAATTATTCACAGGTATCTATCATTGCACGCTCAACGGTTATCTCGCTTCGATGTAAATGCATAGCTACCTTTCAAGATGMCGCAGGGAGCCGTGAAGGAGACTATCGAGCGTGCGCACGAGACGGGATGGTGTCAGAAACAGTGTGCACAGTATACCCTATTATTGACAGTGACTTTTATAAACCAATCAGCGCGCGAGAGATCACGCAAGTGATATTTTCTGAATGTTTATTCGAACCTCAAAGTAATGAGTTCCGAGAACTGGTACAAAGAAACGTAGTTGCAGAAATTCTCGAGAGCTGAACTCACCTTTGTGCAGCCATCATCTCCGGGTCAAAACCCAACTCCCTTAAATATGCTTCATGGTCCAAGCCGTCATCATTATTAGTYTTGTCTCGACGAGCCTGCTTTCTCTCCTCTTTCCTGGCCTGTTTCATCATCAGTTTTTCTTCCTCGGACTATGAGATTTSAATTTTAAACTTTATCACCGAATCACAATCAAATAGTCTCATTCACGGTTACCTGCGCCATCTTGAAAGGTAGCCGTGCCTTTGCATCGAAGCGAGACAACCGTTGATGTGACGTGTATGAACTGTCACGTGGTAAGAGCGCATGGTGTAACAATATAGACAGATAGATAGAGGAGACAACACTCGACACACGTGTATTAGCAATCAGCTACCGAATTAAAGGAATATTCATCGTTTATAGAGAGTGTTTTTAATAGTCAAACCAAGCGCAAAACTAGGCGTATAACATAATTTGGGGGCTCAGACGGTGTTTAAGAATGGCAGATGTCGAAACACAACAATTAAAGTTGGAGCGGATGATCCTGGAACTTCCACCGGAGCGTTTAACAGCACTGGCAACGCATCTCGAGGTCCCTGTAGACGAAGGAGATGGAAGGCTGAAAGTACTCAGAAACGTGAGGAGGAAACTGGAGGAGGATATCGAAACCGCTGAGGATAAGTTGAAAGTAGTAAACGAGATGATTGAATTCATCGGGCACACCGAAGTTGAACGAGATAACGAGACGACAGAAAGCACCGAGTACGCGAAGGCTAAAGAAGAGTTAACACGAATGCAAGAAGAGTTCAATAAGGTGATGGAACTCCAAAAAAAGAAGATAGAAGAAGCCACAGCGAAACTGTCATTCCTTAAAGAACCACACAAGGACATCACTGTACAAGAACCTGTGAGTATCATTCCAAATGCAGAATCAGTGTTTAGACGTGAATTCAAAATCATGGGTTCAATCGGCGGAGAAAAGGACAAACTGTCTTACGTGGGCCTCATGAGACAAATCGACAGCGGGTTGGTCAAAGGATATAAAGAACGTGAAATCATCGAAGCAGTGATACGCTGTATTAACTCGAGCACAAAACTGAAGTCATACCTTGAAATAATACAGGATATTACATTACAAAAACTATGCCAGATTCTAAGGGTTCACTATCATGAGAAAACTGCCACAGAATTGTACCAAGAATTGACAACCGTGGTACAAGGACCGAAAGAAAGCCCGCAGGACTTTCTCCTGAGAGCTTTGTCTCTTAGGGAGAGAATCTTATTCGCTTCAAAAGCCGAGGAGACTAGCATGAAATACGATGCAAGTCTTGTTAAAGGTCTGTTTACACACGCGTTCGAGACCGGCCTACGCGAGGAAATAATCCGCAGCAAAATAAGGGACGTTCTACATAAAGAAGGGTTCTTGGATGAAGAACTGATGGAAGCCCTGAACAAGATAGTTTCTGTAGAAGAAGAGAGACAAACGAAGCTACGCACGACCCAAAGTAAAAATTCTAAGGAATTAAGAGTAAACCCAGTGACCACCGGAAACGCTGATGACATGCCATCAAAGCCAACCAAGACCGCGAAAGAGTCGAGCTTACTAGCAACACTGACCGCATTGCAAGCGCAAATTACACAGCTAAACACCAAAGTAGACGCAGTAAACACTGCATCAAGCAGACCACAACAGAATCGCCAGTCAGGACCACCTCCTACGCAAGAGTCAGGACGACCAGCTACACGCAGAAGTGCACGCAAATGCAAAGCCTGCGAGGAACATAATATCGATCAATGCGATCATTGTCTTAAATGTGGATCACGTGACCACTTCGCGCGTGGCTGCAAGTCGGGAAACTGGAGGGCGCTACAACCAAGGGACAGGGAGTAGACGCCGGTGACACCTCAAAGTCCCGTGTATGTAATAGTTGTTCTAACCAAGGCTTGTGGAACCGTTGTGCTTGTTGTAAAACTGCTTATTACTGCTCAGAGAAATGCCAAAAGGCCGACCGGAAGGATCACAAGTCTCTTTGTAACGCAATCCATGTTCTTCAAACAAAACCAGACGAGTATGTTGACACTACTAATGGAGTTTTTGTTTGTCACTTGACGCCTAAACAAAAGAACAATCTTGGTCAGCTTATTGGACGTAAGTGTACTTTATTTTGTAACCTAAATAACATTAATGTAGAAGTATTATGGGACACTGGAGCTCAAGTTTCTGTGATATCTAAAGAATTCATTGAACTTTACTATCCATCGTTACAAATACGTGACATTGCCGAGTTGATTGGTTCATCACCATTAGATTTAAGGGCCGCAAACGGAGCTAAATTGCCTTATCTGGGATGGGCTGAAGTGAACTTTGAACTTTGTACAGATAATATTCATCATCACCTGACAATTCCATTTTTAGTTACTGAGTATTCTCTTGATCTGCCAATAATTGGTTTTAACGTTATTGAACAAATAGTAACGTCAAACTCGAACTATGATGATCAAAGTAACTTGAATACATTACTGTCAGCAACTTTCAATGGTAAAGCTAGTTCCAATACGGAAGCGATAATAAGTTTTATACAATCGGTCAACGACAGAGAACACGAACTAGGCGTTTTAAAGACAAACAAAAAGACAACCGTGATTCCTAGTTCGGGAACTGTCATCATTCCATGCCGTGCAAATACTGGTTATTTGAACGTAGAAACACCAGCTTTGTTTGAACCGGATACAACTGACTGTTTACCATCTGGCGTAGAAGCACAGGAAGCACTAGTAACGCTAAGACGAGGCACATCTAGTAGTGTAGACATACAAATAACCAACAATACCAAACACGAGATTGTCTTAGAAGGAAGGACGATTGTCGGTCATTTGTATCTTGTTCGTTCTGTCACGCCACTCGAGATCAAACAAAACACTTCTCATTCGTTCAATATTAACTATGTTAATGAAGTTAAGGTCGCGGGAAGCGATAAAGTACAACAAAATGACCAACACAAACACGCTGCTAAATTAACAGGGTCATTAACTGACATTCAAATCGGCGACCTCACAGAGGAACAACACTTGCTCGTCCGACAAATGTTGATTGACGAATCGGAATCATTCTCTAAGAACGACACCGACATCGGTCGTATCGACGATTTACAAGTAAACATCAAAATAACTGACGATCAACCAGTTCAAAGAAATTATTCACGAATATACCCCGACCATTATATGAAGAGGTGAAGGGTTACATCGAAGACTTACTGAATAAAGGTTGGATTCGGCCGTCTCGTTCGGCCTACGCTTCGCCGATTGTATGTGTGAGGAAGAAGGACGGTGATTTACGTCTGTGCGTTGATTTTAGAGAATTAAACAATAAAACTGTTGCAGATCGGCACCCTATCCCGCGAGTACAAGACATTTTAGACAATTTAGGAGGAAACTCGTGGTTCGGTATGTTGGATCAGGGAAAGGCGTACCACCAAGGATTTATTGCACCTGACTCACGACATCTTACAGCCTTCACAACCCCCTGGGGACTATGGGAATGGGTCCGAATCCCATTCGGTTTAAAAAATGCTGTAGCTGAATATCAACGCTTCATGGAGAGTAGTCTGACTGGACTTAGAGATAACATTTGTCTTCCATATATAGATGATGTTATTGTCTTTAGCAAAACATTTGAGGATCATGTTGAGCATATACGGTCGGTTCTTCGTCGCTTACGGGAAAGTGGAGTCAAATTGAAGCCAAAGAAATGTCGACTATTCAAGCGTGAGGTCGCTTGTTTAGGTCGCATAGTGTCAAAGGATGGGCATCGACCCGACCCATCCAGCATACAAGCTGTTGTTGCTTTGAAGGACTGCAACCCTGCTACCGTCGGAGAAGTGCGTAAGCTACTTGGTCTCCTTGGTTATCATCGCCAATATATTCCTAACTTCTCAAAGACCGCAAAGTGCCTGTTCGAGCTCACGAAGTCAAATACTGCCAATGGTGTTAAGGGTGGACTGACTTCGTCTACGAAAATAACATGGAACGTTGAACACCAACAAGCGTTGAACTCTCTCATTGAAGCACTGGCATCACCGCCAGTACTTGTTTATCCAGACTGGAATAAACCATTCTTGTTATTCACAGATGCCTCTAAAGATGGTCTTGGTGCGGCGCTGTACCAGGAACAGAACACCCACATAAAACCAGTTGCATTTGCTTCTCGCACGCTCACCCCAGCTGAACGTAACTATCACCTCCACTCAGGTAAACTAGAGTTTCTTGCCTTGAAGTGGGCGGTATGTGAACAGTTTCGGGATTATCTGTATTACTCACCTCTGTGTACACGGACAATAATCCTTTAACGTACGTCCAGACAACAGCCAAGCTAAACGCCACGGGACATCGATGATTTCAACATTAAGTACCATCCCGGTCGCATGAACACTGTAGCCGACACGCTAAGCCGTCTACCTCTGGAGAAAGTCACCCTTGATGAACACTTCATTCAGACCACGTGTCAAAATGAAATAGATGCCACCTTCACGGGTATTACAACTTTGAATTCGGGAGAAGCAGTGTGGTTAACTTCGATCAGTAATCAATCTAGTGATCTACCCGATGAACAGCCATCTCTGCGCGATGTAGAAGGGAGACGGCTAACCACACGTCAGCTGTTACTGGCACAACAAGCTGATCCTAGTATTAGCAGAGTTGTCACCGCCAAACAACGTGGTCAGCGCCCTGGCCGAAGAGCACTTCAACTAGAAAGTCGGGACACCCGAGCATTACTACGAGAGTGGAACAAACTAGAACTCGGAGATGACGGGTTACTACGCAGGCGCACGAGCAATCATCTACAGCTAGTCCTCCCTGCCACAAAGAGATCATTGGTCTACACAGAACTACACCAGGAGATGGGACACCTCGGAGTCGACCGTGTCATCCAGCTAGCACGTGAACGTTTTTACTGGCCTCGGATGCAAGAAGACATCACGCACTTCGTCACGAAGGTCTGCCATTGTCTCAAGCAACGTCGCTAACAACTACCAACACGTGCTCCAATGCAGCATCTGACATCGTCATCGCCGTTCGAACTTATTTCTATTGACTTTCTTCATTTAGAAAAGAGCTCAGGTGGTTACGAGTATATACTAGTGGTCGTCGATCACTTTACCAGGTTTGCCCAAGCTTATCCAACGAAGAACAAATCTGCCAAAACAGTAGCTGAACGGATATTCAACGATCTTATACCACGGTTTGGCTTCCCTGCACGTATTCTTCATGACCAAGGGAAAGAGTTTGAAAACCACCTGTTCTCTCAACTGGAACGCTGTAGCGGTATTAAGCATGCGCGGACCACACCGTACCATCCACAGGGAAACGGCCAGACCGAACGTTTTAACCAAACACTATTAGCTATGCTCCGTACACTACCAGAAGAAAAGAAATCTCGCTGGAAGGATTATGTAAATAAAGTTGTACACGCCTATAACTGTACTCCGAACACAAGCACAGGATTTTCACCGTTCTATCTCCTCTATGGTAGAACGCCTCGATTACCAGTGGACCTAATCATCGGTCGAAATGTTGAAAGTCCATCCAATCAGAGGGCATTTGCTAAACACTGGAAGACTACAATGCAAGCWGCTTATGACATTGCYCGTAMGAAAACATCTCAAGGCAACGACAAGAGCAAAGAACGCTATGACCGCCGCCTCAACTACACGGAGCTCCGCGAAGGAGACCGTGTACTGGTCAGGAATCTCACACCCAGAGGGGGACCAGGAAAGCTACGCTCCTATTGGGAAGACGCAGTGTACAAAGTTGTAAGCCGCAAAGGGACAGGCCCGGTGTATGAAGTCAAACGAGAAGACCACGTTGGTAACTCGCGACTTCWACACAGAAAYCTCCTATACCCCTGTGACTTCCTGGAACCTGCACCACTGCCRCAACCTGAAAGACAGCAAAGACCACGACGTCGGTCTAATACTAGACAGAGACGACCGCAGTCAACAATTGAAAGTGACGAGTCTGATAGCTCAGATAGTGACATCGGATTGACACCTGCCGCTCTACAGCAGAACCTTAACAACGCCGCCATCAGTGAAGACCTGGAAGATAACGCAGAACCAGTGACCGCTGCTGACACAGTACCAAACGCAGATATCAACATCAATATCGATGACCAAAGTGAATATGTTGATGATGCTGGAAGTGATAGTTCTCAGCCGGAGGAGAGGCAGATGGATGAATYAAATGACGACCCTGTTACGCCTGACGCAACTCGGGGAGCACTTCAAAGTGAAGAGTCAAGATACCCAAGACGAGAAAGGAGACACCCCGTAAGGTGGGGATACAATGMTCTCGCACACGGAATTGACTGCACACCACCTCCCGTGACGTCGAACATACAGTCAACCCCTTACCAGTTGGGACCAATACCACAGTTTGTACATCATCAGCAGATGTTTCAACCTCGATTTGTACATTATCCGCAGCTGTTTCAACCTCAGTTTGTACACCACCCGCACATGTTCCAACCTGGTCCAGTATACAGACCATGGTTTGTTCCGCAAGGAATACGAACTTGAACTATGTTATAGTGAACACTTGATTTAGTGACATTAGTATTATAATAGCCTTGATTGATTTGGATTTATTTAAAAAAAAAAAAAGATGAAATGGTAATATTCAAAATATGTACACTTGTACATGGACGGTGATAAATCGCCAGAAACACACAAGATGACTTAAAGTCTAAAGGAACTTTGTGGTAGACATTTGGAACTGATCACTCCATACGGTAAACCTCAAGCACAGTTCAAGAGATAGATAAGTTTTACATCGTTGTGGACAATTCTCAATAGAGATAGTRCTCACACTTGAAAGCAGGGGAGAGTGTGACGTGTATGAACTGTCACGTGGTTAGAGCGCAKGGTGTAACAATATAGACAGATAGATAGAGGAGACAACACTCGACACGTGTATTAGCAATCAGCTACCGAATTAAAGGAATATTCATCGTTTATAGAGAGTGTTTCTAATAGTCAAACCAAGCGCAAAACTAGGCGTATAACATTGAGCGTGCAATGATAGAAACCTTCTTTCACACCTACAGATAATTATTCACAGGTACCTATCATTGCACGCTCAACGATTGTCTCGCTTCGATGCAAAGGCACGGCTACCTTTCAAGATGGCGCACCTAACCGTGAAGGGGACTATTCCAATACGCCATTTTCCCGTTCAAAGGCAGAAACCGCTGGTTTAGTTGACAACGGTCTCTCATGCGCAGAGAACTTACCAAAAACAAAAGAAAGCACGAAAAAATGTTGTCATTATAATAGCCCTACCAATTTGCATTTTCTCCGAATTGAGGCTAAGCCTACATTCCCAGAAGGCTTAAACTCTACAGGCTTAGCCTCAAAATCGTACTTTCGTACTTTCTTTTGTTCTCTATGCAAGTGAGTCTGTTCTGAAGTAAAACATCGATCACTCGTATCATAACTATACCTGAATAACAACCTGACGACCATATATGGGTTGCTGAGTTTCTTTCTTGAAATTAGTGTTTTTCGTTCTTTTTCTGGAATCTAAACAATACAAAACACCATTCTATTTCTGCAGCTCCAAAAAATATCCGGGTAATAATTATTGTTGCTTCAAAAAACAATCAAAAACAATCAAAAACAATAGACTATTATTCTGGGCAGCCAATCACAATGATTTTTTTCCTGTGAATAAACATTATAAATAATATGTGCTTATTGACGGAGTGGGAGGGCCGTACAGGAAAATATTTGGCTCGAGGTTATGCTGTACAGAGCGAGCGCAGTGAGGTCCGTACAAATGACTGAAAGCCAAAAATTTTCCCGTACGGCCCGATCTAACTCAGTCAATAAGCATTTTATCATATGACAGCGTTTTTGTAAGCCATTTCTTTGATGAAAAGATGTGTGAAAGAAAATTAAAGCGCGTGGAACTTCAAGCCGGGAAGATACAGGTTTGTACGGCACTGTCACGAAAAGGGGTACGGCCCCCATCACGTGACAATTTCCCAAAGGTTTTTTAAGAGCGCGCGTAGGGCCAAAATACGACTCATATGATAATAGTTGTTTCTGACTTATGTTTTACCATCTTATACAGTCAATCTTATTGACGATATTTAGTTGTAAAGACAATACATTGACCTTCATTAGMCTGACAAGACATTTGCACTCRCAAAATCAAATAAAAATGCATGCGCAACGGGAAATGTGAGTCYYGAAATTAAGTTACTCATTTTGAATACACTGAAATACCTGATGTTTTCTCTCCATCAAGAATAGCATTTACTATATTATATCTTTCCTKCAGTAGCTTTGTAATCAGTTCAATAGCATCAAATCCTAACAACTCAAGCAGGTCATTTTGGATTTCTTCATTAGTTCTTTCCGAGCTCAACRTATCAAACAAAGCAGAAAACAAATCATCAGCACCCAGTCCTTTAGACGACGAAGCATGCTTCTCGCACTCTCCCATGAGCCAAGAATGGTGTACTGTATTTGAAGAACTCTCATCTTTCACAGAATCATTTTTATGGTTAATTTTCAAAAGGTCATCAACTCTTGACCCACWTTCTTCCTCAGAGTCTGAGCTCCATAATTCAATTAATTCAACCTGTTGTTTGTCTAGAATATGAAATGCAATTCCRCTTCCAAATTCTTTTCTTTCTGTTTTCTGTTCTTGTGTTGTCTTGTTTCTGATTCCCTGGTCAATTTTCTCAGATGGTGTTAGCTGTTTAATGGTGTTGATGATATGACTTGCTTTTGTACCAGCAGAGGCAGGGAAGGCACCAAATATAGACCGTAATTTCTTGGTTTCTGATTGGCCAAGGTGATCAGAGTCTTTAAGAATGTTGAAAACGAAAACAGCTGCTTCTTCAGTAGCTTCTAATGAAGAGTCTGCACCATCTGAATGGAATAAGTGGAGTAATAAAAATTGAATAAAAAAACAAGAATGAACAAGAGAATGAAAGATTTTTCACACACATGAGGAGCCAATGCATAAATTACAAAGAAATGTATGGAGAACTAAAAATGAGTTTAAACTAAGTCCTTCAAAACTTGCCAGTTGACTTCATTCCGTAGTCTACTGTTTGAAATTAAGGATTCTTTCACAGTAGGAACTCAACTGGAATTATTTGACATCGATTTCATACTGTATCGTTGTTATTTTGCAAGAATTTGCCTACCCAAACAAAATGGTGTTCAAAACCGTCACCTCATCTATTGATGTCAAAGTTTTCTGAAAAGGTTTCATTAAAGTGCTTGTCTTACCAAAATAACACGCCTCAAAAAAGAAGGTTTTATGTATTCCATATCGTTGAAATAACCTTAAATACTAAAAATTAACAGAGCTTGATCCATAAAAGCTCTGTTTCCATTTGAATTTTGATTGCTAAAAGACATCAACAATCCCGTCCACCATTAAAAATGAATAAGTGATTTTTGAATGTTTGGATGAAGTAATAAGACAATAACGAAAGTGGCTTGACAGTAGATGGGGTTAGGCAGTCGAATGAAAAAAAGTGGATGAGATAATGAATTATGAATAAATGAATGGACTTACAGAGTTCTCCAGTTGTCTGTAAAAGCTCTCGTAACAAAATTCTAATCTAAATAATGTAAAAAAGACATTAATATTGAGTACATCATATAAATCACATCGATTTAACATATATTAGGAGCTTTACTGAGGTTAAATTGTGACGTGTATGAAAAAATAAAATTCAGGTTTTGGATACCAGCCCGGGGGGGGACTCCCTAATATCAAAGGGCGGGGGTCCTCGGCGGAGATTG